GCTTACAATGATATAATATAATACATTTACAACTCATAATTACAAGCCCATAACTATAGAAATTAGTGCATATGTCACAAGTTATTCATATGGTGGATGTTATGGTGGTCATCCACATTCGCTATGTTCATAACAAGTTTTTTATTTACGGTGGTCATGCACAGTTTTTTTTTTTTTTAGACCCAAAAATAAAAGAGATATTTATGGCTCATTTGGGAGTGTTTCTGAAAGGATTAAAAGCACTTTATGACAACCAAAAGGGCTTCTAACGGCGTTTGACATAAAAGTTTAGAAGTGTTTGTAGATTATAGAAGTGCTTTATGGAGAAGCATTTGTCATATGCTTATTCAGGAAGCACTCCCAAGTGCTTTTTCAGGAAGCACTTCGATTTTTTAGAAAATTTTCAACAACTTCATAATAAAAGCGCTTATGAGCAGAAGTGCTCCCTAGAGAAGCAGTCCCAAATGAGCCCTTAAGTCATATACCAATTCTTGGCACTAATAATATAGATAAACCATACATCATTTAATTTCTATAAACGAACCTAAAAAATAACAATTGGACCTATTGAATTTAATTTTAATTATTAAATTACTTTGACGCCCTATTGAGTGTTCTAAGTTTTTTTATGAGGTTTTGGGGTTGAGTTTGTTTAAATCAATCAATGATAGTTTTGTAATTTAAAATAAGTTAAAAACTTTTTTGTTATGCTGTAAATGAGTTTTGAGTGTGTTTCTAAAGTGAATCTCCCCCTTTTGCTTTCCAAACGATTTGTTAAACACCTCAAGAAAAACGACGGGCCGCGGCCCGTGGGCCGCCACCACACTTGATCTTATTCTTATCCGCATCTGCCGCTTCACTGTCTCTGACGTGTTCATAACTTCTAACCAAATTCAAAACTGCCTTTGTACTTTGCAGACATATAAAGTTCAGTTTCTGCACAGCCAAAGCTGTAAACTTTGGGGGTAATTTTTTCTTTTTGGGAATTATCCACTTTCGGTTGAAAACGTAGAATTATACTCAAACACCTTCTTCCTGGTGATTCGCTCTTTGAATTCTTACGGCCCCTTAGTATAAGAACTGAAGTTTTCAAATTGAAGATGGCGACCGACACTAATACCCAAATCTACCACGAGCGGCAAAGGCTACAATTTTGACTCTTAGACTCGCTCAACAATCTCTTCCAGGTAGCTTTTCCAAAACAGTTTTTGCATAATGGTTGCGTAGAAGAAGGGTAATAGAAGAGAACCCACTAATTATTTATGCCCAAAACGATTATTCTGCTTTAGTTCTATGATTTTGTATCACAGTCTTGTATTTTTTTTCCCTTTTAATCAAATATTTTTGAATGTGTTTATTTGATTTGATACTTAAATGTGTATGCTGCTTATCAAAACAATTATGTTGAACAGCAAAAAGATGTATTTACTCGATCAAGCTTGAATGAGATTGCTGAAAAACTTGTTCTTGAAGAACCCAACAACGAAACATGGACACCCTTATCTGTACTCTTTAAACCCCATCATAATGCACTTACTGGAAACTATGATATAAATGTGCTAATTGCTGCTTTAGAAGACAAGGGAAAGAATGTGGTTTGGCATGATCGTCGTAATGGAGCGTCTTCGATTGATCTAGATGGGCCTGAAGATGCTTTGATGGGTATTCTGCTTAATGTTCCGGTTAGAATGTTTGCCGGGCTTTGGAAAAGTAGGCATTGGGTTTCATTGAGGAAGATCGACGGGGTTTGGTACAATTTGGATAGTGATCTTGTTGCTCCTCAGGCTTTTGAAGATACTGAAAAGGTTAAAGAATTCTTGGATTACATCATTGGGCATGGTGCAGAAGTTTTGCTTGTTATGAACAATAAACAGTGATTTTTCTTCTCATGAGTTCAAGGTATCTGATTGGGTGTCCAAGTGACTGTATATTAAGCTCTGCTTGTAAAGTTTTGATTTACAATCAGCTTATAGAAGAGGAAAAAGTATCAGTTTTTTGGTTTGTTCCCATGCCCTGTATATGTATTCTGTTTCAGTGCTATGTGTGGGGTGGTGAGGGTGCTGCTAAATGATTTCTGTAATTACATATTTGGTATTGGAGGGGGCTTCTTAGTCAATCTTGAAACATTGGGCTTTTAAGTTTATCTTTTTCCTGAGGTGAAACTTTATTAGGTAGGGCACCATTCTATTAGTAAACATTTGGATGCTGATTAAAAAAGCTCTGCTTTTGATGTCATATGAGTGTGGATCGTGTGCTTGGACATAATGACAAGATATATTTTGTTTATATATTTGGAGTATGTGATCAAGCAATTGATTTCAAGTTGTCAATATGCTTGATGGTTGACTGAAGACACCCCTGACAGCAAAACTTTGGAGGGATTGATTGTGCTTCTTTCAAGTTTTTTTGACCAGTTTCATGCTCTGTAGAAAGCAGATGCAGGATTTTGCATCTTAAGTCCAGAGAGTTATTGCATGTTGTGTTAATGCTCTGTTGGGTTTTAGAAAACTTGAGTGCTGTTTATTTTTTATATCATCTTAGTACATTGAAACCTCTGTGTAATCTGTAAAGTATCATATATTAAGTTTTTCACCCTAATATGTACAGCTCAATGGCCCGAGTGCCCCACTTTCACCTATTTACCCTAATATCTTTTAAAAAGCATTAGCAGAATGCTGGCTTGTGTCTTCTTCCTTGCATCTTCAAAAGTTATCCTTTTGGCCTTCCTCTTTCTTTGCAATTAATTAACTTTTTGGAGATTTGTTTTCCTTGGTTCTTTTCTTTTCCATTCCTCCTGCTGCATTCACCTCCAATCACCCACCCACACGAACTCACTTACCCCAATTAGAAAAAGACATGTAAGTTGTTTGCCATTGTCCTACCACCATGCATAAGATAATTGTTTCTGTTCCAGTTGGAAGGTGATGTATAGACCATAGCTTTACAGATCTCTCTAGGGTGGACAACAACCTCATTATCACCAAAAATTTAATAGTAGTCACAAATCAGCTTTTACCAATAGTTGAATGAAACATCTTTGAAGATGGTGCTGATAGATTTATAAAGTATACAAACTGAGGAAACTGAGACTATAAGCAGTCTTCTTCCTACAACCGATTCGGAGATGGTATTTTAAGCTCTGTTTATATATTTGATTTTAGATCAAACCCGAGCAGCACGCGATGTTCTCATTGTGAAATGGAGGGGGCATAAAACCACGGTGTGAACGAAGACATGAGTCTCTGCAGAAATGACTGGTGTGAACAATACTGTTGTGCCAATACTTACTTTCCGTCCTTTCTATTTGTTTTTGGTATTTTGTTCCTTGGAGGGGTCACTTTTTGATGCTTGCACTTCTTGCAAGCAAAAAGGTGCTCTCACATGGTCAAAGGATTAGTGGGGAGCCAGAGATCATGCTTTGGTTACTGCTTGAAATCTCTTTTCTCACTGTCTTAATCTCCCCTTTTGGCATATCCTTTTGACACCCTTCCGCATACGTTCTTTACACTCTCCACTTTATAACCCACTATAAGATTTCTACCCTGGTAGCTCTCTATCAATTCCTCTCTCTCTCTCTCTCTCTCTCTCTCTCTCTCTCTCTGCCTCAGCCTAATAAATTGATTCAGGCTCACGTTCTTTGCTCTCTCCACTTTGTATCCCCCTAGCCACTTTCTACCGTGTCAGGTCTCTCTCAATCACTCTCTCTCTCTCTCTCTCTCTCTCTCTCTCTCTCTCTCTGCCTCTGCTTCATTTCAACTTTCGATTTTAAAATGGCAACAAGAGCCAAGACCCAGATGAGCCAGAAGGAGTATGTCAACAGGAAGAGAGTCTTTTATTTCAACCACACTTCAACTAAGAGCGTTGCCCAAGACAGAAGGTATACTGAAAATTTTAGATTTAGGTTTCCTACATGGTCAGGATTCTTACCAATGAGATTACTCAAAAATCTTGCTGACAAGGTGGCAGGAACTCTATGTATGGGTATGACCTCCATGAGGACGAGACCTTCGCGAAAGGATTCTTTATCTAGAAGATCAATGCCATTCGTGGCGCCTGTGGATTCTCATAGAGAACAAGCCATAGAAGATTGCATTGAGTTCATCAACTCTTCTTCTTCTCTTTCAAGATCAACTTCTATAGCCAGACATTCTCCTTAGGTTTCCTAAAACCAATGAACTTGTGTTCCAACTATTTTTGGTTACATCGGTCGAGTACTAGTTTGTAACATAAGAAACTTGAAGTCTATTGTAGTATTGTACACATGTTTCGTGCACCAAATTGGAGAGCTATGCTACGTGTATACTTGCTGTTGGTAATTTGGTGTGGCCTGGTGGATCAATGCATTAGATTAAAAGATTGATTCTTCTTATAGTTCTTGACTAAATAAGTTCTTAAAGTAGTTAGTTTATACGAGGTAACGAAATGTACATCGTAGAGGTTCAATTTTTTCGTTAACAATTGATCAACTAGTCTACCCTGTAAGAACACAGAAAAATAAGGATGCTAATTTTCCCGCTCCCTTTTTGTCCACTTACGCTCTCCTTTGTTTTTTAGTACTTTTTATTATAACATATAAGAGAGTGTATGTGGACAAAAGAGTTGTGTGAACATAAAATTTTCAACAAATGGAGTGTAAGTAGACAAAAGATGAGTGAGAAAATCAGCTCCCAAAAATAATCGTCGGAGGTGAGGTGACATCGGTGTGGATCAGTTCAAGAGCTCTTAAAGTAGATTGGTAAGTAGTCTGGTCTAAAAGGTTCAAGTTGGACTTTGATTTTCTACTCTGCTCCAGTTTTCTGGTTTGGGATGCAAGGCTATCCTTGTGGAATGATTGGTTCTTAAAATTTCAAGAGCTAAGAGGGCAATTTAGCACCTTAGCTTATTATAATGGCACAATATGAGCTCATCACTATGTTAAACTTAAATTATTCCAGAACATATATATTATATACCAGCTGATCAAAAATGAATTGAAATGAAATTAAACTTAGATGCGAAGAGAGAGATGAAGAATTTAACACAGCTTAAATGTTCCATAATGATCAATGAGTACTGAAAGCAAATAGACACAGAACCCTGCCTGAAATGCCAGATTATGATAATTAATCATCCACATGAATCTGATCAGTCGTTCTTGACAAAGAGGCCTCCAAACCCGCCCTTCTTCTTCTGCGGTATCTCCACTGTGCCCTTGCGGCCACCATTAGTGGCACCATTCTTATCCTCAACCTTCTTGAGGATTGGATCAGTCTCAAGCAGCTGGTCCTCCTTTGCTAGCCCTCCAAGAATCCAATCAAGCAGACCCTTCTCCTCTTTGCTTCCTCCCTTGGCCGCGGTTGCCGCGTACACCCGGCTACTTGCTCTACCGGTTGCCACCGGAGCAAAAACCATTGTGAGGGAGGCCATTTTAGTTTATTGGCTGCAGAATCTAGCACCAGAGGAAAAGAGTATGATGTTCGTAATAGTTGAGTGAATAAGAGGAGGGAGGGATAATATATCCTCCTAGTTGTTGTTAAAAGTGAATGTGAACCATTGGATGGTTCTTGCACGGTGACTTGGATTTGAACGGGAGTGTTTGTAGCACAAGCCCTCCACAAGTGTCTTATCCTCATTCTTTCAACTTTTTTGTTACACAAGGAGGAAAAAAGGCTACTTTGTAAGATGAGGGCTCATCGTTAGTGGACGTGGACGTGGATGTGGATGAGACACGTGGCAGCACCATAACCTGTGCACTTAGTGGAGGCTAAAAGATGGGCCAAGTGGAGATGGATTGTATTGGACCTAAATTAGTCCAAGGAATTTTAATGTTAACAAAATATAGAGAGCTACCTCAAAAAGAAGCCCACAATGTAAATTCCAAATTGAATAACGCCCATAAGTATCCTAACTAATGTGTGTGTTTGTTGGGATAGGGGAATCGAACACAGAACTTCGGGTACAGAATTTCAGGTGCAAGGTAAACACTATTAAAGTTGAAAACAAATATAACCCATGAATTTGTATATATAGCAATCTTGTTCTATACTATATATATATATTGGTCATTGGCATTTGACTAAAAGTTTAAGCGATTAATTCCTAAAGTTTGCACAAATTGAACTGAAACGTGAGATTTGGACAAGTACTATTCAATGGGTTGGTATCGACCCATGGCCTTAAGAAAGGGGAAAAGGTGCATGATGACAAAGTTATCCTCCATTTCTTCTAGACAAAGTTCTCTCTTGTCTCAGAACTTGTGGTTCAAAGAGAGACGGTTCAGCTCAGTTTTTGTCTCTCTAAGGTCTCATCCGCTCCTTTGATTCACACTTATAAATCACTCTTTTTTACAGGTTTTGAAAAGTTAAACCCATTTTCTCATATCGGGTCAACCATCTCCACCTACCCTCATGGCCTGCATGCATGGCTTGAGCTTCCTATTTTCTTAATAAAGAAATTAAGTTCAGCTCCTTGCTTGCCCTCTTTGATATACATATACATACATTTAAGAAACTGCTTTGAGTGCTTAATTTGTTCCCAACAACCATGAAAAATGCACCTTACTTGTTTTGCTCCATCCTCAAAAACCTTTTTCACTTTTCATCAGTATATTATATGTGGACAGTGGATGGATCATCATCAAAACAAAACACTTCTTCTACTATATAGTATATATTGCGTGTTCCCTGTCAGTTATATATGTGTTTATCTCTATTATCACGTGAATAATTTCTTTAATTTTAAAATTAGAAGATTGCATTTCCTATAAAATTTTGTTCAAATATAACTGTTATCCATTTCATTCAATAAAGTAGAGTAGGGGCTTGAAGTACATTATGTATATATTAGTTTCAAATAATATAAACATCGACATCTGGATGCTTGGATCTGGTTCAGATTAGATCTCAACTCTTTTCATGTAACTCGTTTTTCAACTCTCAAACATTTACAAATGCAACTCTGGGAGAAAAACTTAGTTGCAACGGGAATATCATTGTTTTGCTATCTTCGTCTAATAATGATACGTCACACGTAGCGTTATTGGCCGGAGATAACAAAATAGTACTATTATCGTTTCATGGAAGTCTTTCTCCATACTAGGCCCACTTTCATGTGGTATAAAAAAATTAGAAAACAGCTGGGTTTTACAACATCATCTTTCTAAATTAAGTAAATTAACCATCGTATGCCAACGACGTCCAAGGATTAGAAAAATGAAGGATAATGAACGCAGCGTACGTTAACATGTCAAAGGACGTGGCAGTTTCTTACCAAAGTAAAATTAAGAGAGTTAAAAGGTTCAAATTCAAACCCTACCTCTCTTTTTTTTGGTAGTTTTGGTTAATTAATCAGTCCCCATAAGGAAATATCTTCCATGCATACCTACTCAGTCGACTAGAAATAATATAAAACCCCATGTAAAGGTTTTCGTGTACATACTTCCACGTAGAGTCAATTTCCTATCAACTTGGTGGCGACCTGCATGCATGATGCCCCAAAATTCCCAACAACTCCTCCTACAAAACTTTCTCCTCATCTGACTCTTTATATACCGCCACCCAACCTCTCTCTCTAATTAAACTAATATTCTCTCTCTATCTCTCTCTATCTCTCTATACCACAAGACCAACTCCCCAGCTTGCTCTCATGGAAACCCTACCTATTCTCTTTACCCTGCTTGGTGCTACATTTTTGTATCTCTTCTGGTTCTACCTCTTGGCTCGGAAACTCACAGGTCCGACCGTTTGGCCATTCGTGGGCAGCCTTCCGGTTCTCTTTATGAACCGGAATTCAATCCATGACTGGATCACGAGTAACCTCCGTGCCACGGGCGGTTCCTCCACGTACCAAACATGTACACTCGCTCTTCCTTTCTTGGCTCGCAAGCAAGGGTTGTTCACGGTGACATGTAACCCGAAAAACATCGAGCACATTCTCCGAACCCGGTTCGACAATTACCCCAAAGGGCCAACGTGGCAGGCCGCTTTTCATGATCTTTTGGGGGAAGGGATATTCAATAGCGACGGAGAGACGTGGCTGATACAGAGGAAAACGGCGGCGTTGGAGTTCACAACTCGGACGCTGAGGCAGGCCATGGCTCGGTGGGTGAACCGGACCATCAGGACCCGGCTGTGGTGCATTTTGGATAAGGCGGCCAAAGATCACATCGCGGTGGACTTACAGGACCTTTTGCTTCGGTTGACGTTCGACAACATTTGCGGCCTCACATTCGGTAATGTTCGAAATCAAAATTGAGTAGCTCACCCATATCATGTTTAAAAAGAAAAAAGATTTTAAATTACACTTTTTTTCCTTCTTGTTTACCTAAATCTTCACTAATGTTTAGATATTTATTTTTTAATTTATCCTTGTGATTATTTGTTTACAGGCGATACATTTTTTGTTCGAATTCCTACTTCCTCAATATCGATTTTATAAATAAATAAAAAATTGATAAATCTCTTTCTTTGTTCGAAACTTCTCTCCTCCAATATCGACTGTATTACTTCCTCAATATCGATTTTATAAATAAATAAAAAATTGATAAATCTCTTTCTTTGTTCGAAACTTCTCTCCTCCAATATCGACTGTATTAAAAATAAAAAGTTTGATAAACTCTTTTTTTTTTTTTTTTAAATGAGAATGATAAACTTAACATTATTATTTATAATTTTCCGAAAAAAAAAGCATCTGAATTAATATTTTTTCAACAGGCAAAGACCCGGAAACGCTGTCACCGGAATTACCCGATAACCCGTTTGCCAAGGCATTCGACAACGCCACCGAAAGCACTCTCCAACGCCTCCTCTATCCCTCTTTCCTCTGGCGACTGCAGAAGACCTTCGGCCTCGGAGCCGAGCGACGGCTAGAGAAGAGCCTCCGTGTCGTCGAGAACTACATGAACGAAGCCATCGTTGCGCGCAAAGCGACGCCGTCCGACGACCTGATCTCCCGCTTCATGAACAAGCGCGATGTCGACGGGAATCCCTTCCCGAGCGCCGTCCTCCAGCGCATCGCCCTCAACTTCGTCCTCGCCGGCCGCGACACGTCGTCCGTCGCGCTCAGCTGGTTCTTCAACCTCGTCATGAACAATCCCCAAATCGAGGCCAAGATCGTCGGCGAGATCTCGACGGTCCTGAAATCGACACGTGGCGACGATCAGCGCCTCTGGCTCGAAGAGCCCCTGGTGTTCGACGAGGCCGATAAATTGGTTTATTTGAAGGCCGCGCTGGCTGAGACTTTACGATTGTACCCTTCCGTACCGGAGGACTTTAAGTACGTTGTGAACGACGACGTTTTGCCGGACGGGACTTTTGTGCCAGCCGGTTCGACGGTGACGTATTCGATCTACTCGGTGGGAAGGATGAAGAGTATATGGGGGGAGGACTGTATGGAGTTTAAACCAGAGCGGTGGATTTCGGCCGACGGGAACCGGTTCGAACCGCCCAAGGACGGTTACAAGTTCGTGGCGTTCAATGCCGGACCGAGGACTTGTTTGGGGAAGGACTTGGCTTACCTGCAGATGAAGTCGGTAGCTTCGGCAGTGCTGTTGCGTTACCGGCTGTCTCCGGTTCCCGGTTTCCGTGCCCAGCAGAAGATGTCTCTCACGCTCTTCATGAAGAATGGGCTTCAGGTGTATTTGCATCCACGTCAGCTTGGTGGTGGGCCAGGTCAGGTCGCCGCCACCTCAGCATAAGGGGAGGGGTATTTTCGGGATTGAGAAAAAGAGAAGATCAAAACTGTGCCGTCTATGTGGGATACAAATTGAAGTCATTTAATTTGTTTTTAATTTTAAAAAAATGTATATGGTATTATATCATTTTGTTGTTGGTCTGTTGGGTAGGGTAAGTGGGTCTGGGTTAGTGGGTTGAATATGAGTACGGTTGCTCATCTAAGTTGGAAAATTTGATGTCTTTGTGTTGTTAATTATATTTCATATCAGTTGATATGGGTTTTTCTTATACTTATCAATAAAATTTAAATGTATACTCTTTTAATCCTTATAGGTGGTGTGATTAGAATGCTTAATTAATTTCAAGTTCAATTCCTATCACATTTTCATCTTCTCTTTATATTTTTTGGGCGCTTATGTTTTGATTTACATTTATCTTAATAGAAGATAACTATTTGTATCATACTGCTATGAGCATTAGGCAGATTTCGGAATACGTATTATAAAGGTGACACTTGTTAACACAAGTAAGTCCTACATGGATCTCATTTCTGTGAGAGATACGATTAACAACGTGGTGAAACATTAAAGTTGGGCATTTTGATATGGACAATGTAGGCGGACTACAAATTTACAAGGTCAATTTGTGATGTAATTGTGCAACTCGTATGATGATGATTAAATTCAATCCAATGTAGAAGAATGAAGCCTTGGCTGTCAGAAAATGTATATTAATGGGAAATGCATATACATACAACATATTGCTTCATAACCACAAATTTGAAATGTTAGTCTTTTGATATAGCATTTACAGAGGGGCTGTGTTGTGGTCATTTTTGCTATGTACTATCATCATTCATGAAAATGGTATGAAAATGCTACCAATTTATCAAACTTCAAATTCTGCCGGGAACCAATAAGCAATAGCCTTTACTCTTCTACTTTTTAGCCCCATGTCAAAATCTTTGAACA